TTTGTAATAATCGAAGCTTCTTCTCCTTTGTCTCCCTCTCTCTCTCTCTTCCCTCTCTCCCTCCCTCTCTCTCTCTCTCTCTCTCTCTATTCTCGTCCAGCTTTATCAGTAAAAGAATATTATTGAGAAATCCAAGTTTTCATTGAAAATTTCGTGAAAAAAACCTGTCCATTTAGTCATTTTTTCAGGTCAGCAACCTGCTCATTCTCCTCTCGCGGACCATCCCTCTGTCACTCCCTCGTCCCCCTCTCTCCTCTCTCTCTCTCTCTCCCTCTCTCTCTCACTAACCATTTCCTTCTTTTGTGAAACAAAAACGAGCAAAATCAACACAAATTGACTAAAAGCTTCTTCTATTTTTTTCTTTCATCATCTTCTCACCATTGCCTTCAGCTTCTGGCCTTCGTCCATCTTCATTTACTTCTCTTCTCAACCTTCAACATCGTTCGTCATCTGATAAATTTCAAAAATTAAATTTATGGTCATTCAGATGGCTTAACGATAAACGTCGAAAATGGCTTTTTATCCCTTTACGTCCAGTTCATAACGACGACAGAAAAGTTGATGATGTTCCGGTCGTCATCAAATCTTTTCCAGCAATCTTCTAATTTCCATCATCATGTTGCTTTTCGCCTTTTGTCGTCGTCGTTGTCGTCATCTTCGTCTTCGTCTTCGTTTTTTTCTACTTTGGCGTTTGTGATGAAAAACAACGCCAATCCTATTAGGCAATCATCTTCATCAATAAACTTTTCTCTTTTTATTTTATTTGATTAAAGAGGGACTCACTCTCTCTCTGTCTCTCTCTATCTTTATGTCCCTATCTCTCTATCTTGCCAGAATCGAGGATGTTGAAGAGAGAGAGAGGTTTCATGAATTCCATAAGTTGAATCATCTCTCTTGCCAACTCATACGATGAGACAAGCCTGCATCCACCTACCACATGCCATATTCCTGCATCAAAGCTTTTCCTTTTCTGATCATCTCATCTATGATCTGCATCTATCTGTTACAATCCAAATGACCACAGCTCTGTAGTTTCCATGAGATTGTGCTTGAGCACGTGCTTGTTTACATGAAATTTAATGGTTTTTCATATAAAAAGCTTTTTTATGTGCTTCTCCTCCTGAAATATAGTTTATCAAGCAAACTGATGTTTAATGAAGCTCTCCTTACATGGCAATCTCTTTCATATGCATCTCTCTCACTCTCTCTTTATCACATACTCTCTCATCTCTTATCTACTACAGTTCCATTCTGAAAAAATCTATTTTGATCATTGAAAAACGATATATTCATGGAATCCTAGTAGTATCAAAGGTTTTTCCACAATCATCTCATTAACCAAATTACACTTCTTATCATCTCTCTTCATAATCCATTTTGTATTGAAGCTTCTTCTTTCTCAAATGTTTCTTATCATTTCTAATAGAATAGATTCTCATCTTGTACACACTATGAGATAGTCACTGAATAAGTGAGTGATCATCTATATACACACTGAGTTAGCAGAGAGTACCAGAGATAGAGAGATAGAAAACCTTATATGTACATGCCATCCATCTTTTCGCTTATTTTATTTATTTCTTTTTCTTTTTTTTTGTAAACTTTTGCATTGCTTTCATCACCTATCCACCCTCCCCCCACTCCTTCGCCCTGCCTCTCCCCCCCCCCCCCCCCCAAGGAGCGATGTTTGGAAACTTCTGAGAGCTGGTTTTTCCATATCGTTTTTCCTTTTTTTTTGTTCTTTGTAAATACAGTAATCATCATAACATTTTAATTTTGATAATTTTCTTTTATCTTTAAGTTTCCTGAGCTTCTTCCACACACGAACATCACTAGATCACTGTTCACACTATGAGAAGGAGCAAAGAGAATGTTGAAGCAGCCAACACATAGATATCCTTCTTCACACCAGTTCATTGTTGTATTCTCTCTCTCTCTTAACCATTACTCTTCAAATGCTCCAGTATGCTTACTATATGCTCCACACATACTCATGTACTCATCTGTCTGCAACCTCTGTTATGTCTCTCTTTAACCTTCTATAGTCCCAGATTTACTTCCATTCATTCCAGCCTTCTGTCATCACACTCTTCATTTCTTTTCTCTTCTAATATAATGACCGTTCTTCATCATAATTCTTCTGTCAACTATCTGACCTGTGACAAAAGGTTATTCGAATTGTTTTTGGATGGAACGTCGTTCTCCATTTTTAGGAATTGAGATTTGCCCTCTCAATCACCTCGCCCCAATGATGATCCATTGCTTACCCCTTAGGCATTCCAGTTATGTCAACTGGTCTTTTTTCTTTCATAATTGGTCTGTCTTCATCTCTCTCTCTCTCTATTCTTATACAATCCTGATGGTAACTCAATCCATCTCTCTCTATATATACTACTACCATTCCTTTCTACCTCTACCTCTCTCTCTCTATCTCTCTCACTCTCTGTGATTGCATTCATTTTTGCAAACTTCTTCTTCTTCATCATCAAAACCTATCCATCATGTAAACAAACAAATGCCAACAAAAACTTTTTTTTTTATTATTCCTTTTGAGCTTTCCTTTGAGAAGGAACAGCCTTTGACCTCAATTTTTATTCCTTCAACCCATCATTAAAATCTCGTGAGCGACAGGTGGAATGGTCGATTACAAACTATTCTTGAGACTTCAGTTTCTTCTCCATTTCTTCTTTCAATTCAGCTTTTGCCTCTCATTTCATCTCCTTTTCATCATTTGTACACCTTTACTCACCTTTTGTGAACGACATCAAAAGGTTTTCTCTTCCACCCCCCCTCTCTCTCTCACTCTCTTATTGGCGTTCGAAGAGAAAAAGCTTTTTTTCCTCTAATTTGCCTGTTTCCCATCTCCCCCCCCCCCCCCCCCCCCCCCCCCCTCCCCCCCCCCCCCCCCCCCCCCCCCCCCCCCCCCCCCCCCCCCACCCGCCGTCGATCTTTTTCTTTTTTCTTTTTTT